GTATATCAACACATTTTTTTTTAGGGGAAACACAATTCAACTCACAACAGAAACCTATTCAAGTTCAACTTTCTTTCATGGAGCTTTGTGAATGAGGGTAGTAGAAACTAGTTATTCTTCAAAAATAAAAGAATCAGTTTAGTGTCTGTGCCTCTTTTACACACTTTGGTGCTAGCATAAATAATTTATTTTTGATTGTTTGAGAAATGGTTGGTAATGAGCTCATGTCCAAGCTATTCTTAAAACGTTTACCATCTGTGTCACACCTTGTATTGTAGTGTTATTGAGCAGTCATCCTCAGAGGGTCATATGATTCATTCTCATTTGAAATTCATTGTTAGTTTGACCTTCACCTAGAGATATCAACATTATATCATGAAAATTATCCTAATGCTTTTATTTAACCAATGTATAAGTATTTTTGTGGCAGCAGAGTAAAAATGTATTGTAAGCTACCACATGAATACAAATTTACTTTGACTTTCTTATGAAGTAGGAATCAAAAGATACAATTAGCCAAATTGATCTCAACAGAATACTAATACACTTCAACTTGTGGCACAGTTTGACTTTTTAGCTCTACTTCTAGTAAAGCTGACACCTTTGGATACATCAGTTTGTTTACTCATCCAGAGTGTGTAGTTAACCTCCAAGATCTGACAGCTTTTCTTGCAGGTTATACTAGGCTGACATGTAATCTATCACAACATGAGTAAGAGCAGAAAACCTTTTGATACCTCCATCTACCCCAGCTAACTTACATTATTTTCAGTTTTCTAATTGAGTGGACATAGGTAATTCTAAAGGTTCCCTTCCAATGTGTCCAATTAAAAGCACACAAATAGCAGACATGCAAGATGATTTCCCTAGAGCCTATGTAAAGAGAGACACTCCCAGTTCTGTATCATATATGCTTTCTAATGAAGAATTCAGGGAGAGGTATCACCACATCACCATCCTCAAAAATCAACCCATTGCCATTTAAATTTCTATGATGAGTTTAGGGTCTGCACACCGTGCTCTGGTTTTCAGTGATGCCAATAAGGGTTCCCTACACATGCATGCCATTTTTTCACATTCATGTTGATGGCTGTGGGTTCACACCTAGGGCTTTACCAGGAGACTTTGACCTCCCTTTCATTCAGAATGGTAGCCTTCTTTCACCCTGTACCAATTTCACTGGTTTTACCTGTGAGAATCTACAGATTCAGTTTTCTTTTTCCTAGATTTGTTAAATTTATCAAGGTTGTGTTTATATAACAGATCAACTGAGGGTCTTGTAATGTCCAAGGAGTTGATAGAGGGGATTTACTTCGGAGGCACCTATTTTCTGATGGTGACCATCAGCACCTAAGCAGCCACATCATTCATGTTCTCCTGTTACATTCCATTTTCAAGAACCTTCTAACAATTACCACTGGGTTTAATCTTGTTGATAGGTTTCCTAATTTTTAATTTGAAAGGTTTTTGTAACAACTTAGAAAGTGTTTAAGTCACTTTTCAGACAGTATTGTTTATCCTTTGAGGAGCTGAGAATCCCTGACATAATCAATCCAAAGTAGCTTATACTTGTGTCTCAGAATATTTACAGCCTCAGTGGGGCTATTACAATTTCTGTTCAGCAAGACCAAAGCAGTTGTCCTTCTCCCGATACTTTGATCTAACTCCTCCTTTAATATAGATTAGTGAATTAGGGATAGGATTAAGCGTGTCATCTCTCACACACACAATGAATGTAGTTGCTTACCAAGAATCTAGTGTTTACTTAAACACCTCTCTTCTTTCAGTCATGAGCAGAGCCAATGAAATTTACCCTTGTTAATAATATGTAAAATTATTTGCAATAAAAGTACTCTGGGAGCTGTCTGTATCTGTCCACAATATGAGTCAATTCCTTGACAAAATAACCTGTAATCTCAAAAGTTACCTGTTCAGAACCCTTTAGAATATCTTTAGAATGCTTTGAGTAATGAGAAGTGGAATTAGTTGTGATACTTTTATAATATTTCATCAGGACAACATTTTATTTCCTAACTTGGTTCATAATTAACTTCAAAGAGACAGATTCTAGACTTTTGAACATGTTTGGCTATATTTTGACTTTCAATAATATAGTTTTTTTTTCTTTCCTTTTTTTTTTCAGCCAAGGAACAATTTGGGGATTGTGATTTTCCCTTCACTTATATCTTGTTCTTTCCCAATTTTGCTGTCTCCCCTGATACTAGATTTATTACCTCTACATCCAATTTTCCTTAATTGATCACAGTGCTTGGGCAACCTCAAATCAGGGTGGCTCAAGAGGCAACCTGGCATTAGAGAGGATTCATTCTCCCTGTTCTTCTCTTTAGTTCTCCAAAACAAAGGATTAGTCATATTCAAATTAAATCTGCAGTTGTTGCAAAAGTTCTGCCACTTTCACTGCAGCAATTATTTCTGTATATTCACATACACTCTAATAAAAGTGAAGGATACAATATAACAGAAAAAAGAAAGCACAGAGCAGTTGGAGAAATCCAAAGTTCCCATCTCTCATACTTACAAAGAATGGGCTTCATCTTTGTTTGTGAGCCACCAATATGTGCATGAAATATATCAGTCATAGAGAAACTGCCCTCTTCTCTGAGAAACGGTCTTTTATACCCCTATGAGGTCAAATATTTACATTTGAGGTTACTATGTTTTATAAATCACCAGTTATGACCGTATGTTTTTTAAATTGTAGTTCCTGAAAGACCAGATAGTGTCCATGAAAACACACAGAAATACTGGTGACACATGCATCTAAGCATGAGATATAAGACAAATTCTCCTAACAACTAACAATGAGATTGCAATGAGCTTGTTTCTGTGCTTGTATTCTGGAAGCACAGAACTTAATGCGCACAGCCTGGCAACTAATTTTTCCTAAGTATCTATTATGGCCTGGATATTGTGCTGGACACCATACTGTCTCTCGTCCAGCAATACAGTATATTCTTTCTCTCCAGATATGTGTCTAGATTAATAAACAAATTGTATGGAATATTCTAAAAAGTAGTATAGAAATACCAAGAAGGAAATATTGACTTTTATCAGGAAAAAAAGAGAAAAGGCTGCTTAAAGAGGAGAACCTCAAACATTAATTATAAAAAGGTACTGTATCTGTCATATTCCAAATCACTGCATTGCAAATGTCATTTTTCCATTTGCACTCATAGGATATACTAGCATAAATTTAACTTCTGTGGGACTTAAGAAATCTGGTTTTCTTAACACAATTAGATTAGTCAGTTTCCGCAAATTTCAAGTTTTAGTGAAGTTTGGGAAAGTTTAGTATCAGATTTTGAAATTTGTTTTTACTTTTCAAAATATTTTAAAAATTTCATGGTGCATATATTCTTCAAATGCTGAGTACAGTTTATTCCAAATTAACTAAATATGTGTACACTATCTGTTGAAGTCATATGGAACTTTTGTCCTAGAAGTTGCATATTTAATATTGAATATTGGGAATATATTTGATATAGATACATAGTTTTCAGTCAATATGTTATACAATATTTTCTTCAAAATTGAGACTTATAATTGAGACTCCCAAGAGACTTCCACCATGCTTAATCAACTTACATATATTGCACAACTTAAATACTTATCATATGTATGAATTATTTAGGCCCTTTAGTTTTCATAATTATGCATTCATTTAAGTACAGCAAATAAAATATCTTTACATATGTTTTGGAAGCCAAGAGGCCATTGGGCACAAGGAAGTTTTAACTTTAGCACTTTAAAATATCCAGCTAATTTATCAAATGTAGTATATTTTAGTGTGTGGGAGGAAGGGTAGAATAAAGCCAGCTTTAAATGTAAAGTCAAAAATCATTTATTCTCATGTGGCTCTTTCATCCTGATATAAGAAGATGTTCTTATTAAAATGATTGTTATCCAATAAAAACAAACACTTAGGACTCAGGACTAGGACTCAGGACAGAAGCTATGGCACCTATGATGAGTATCCCTAGGTTTATAGCAAAAGGAATTTCCAGGAAGACAATGGTGCAATAAGCACTTTGCAAAACATGAAGAAAAAGTGATTATTTTTAACAGGAGGTGATTTGTTCAAACATATTAAATCAATTCCTATAACTTTGTTAGACATTTTGGAGGTTGTAATATTGAAAAGAACACAGGAAATGAAAAGAAAGATGATACAGTCATTAACTCTGGAAAATACAAAAGTTTTCCAAGTTGGTAGATGCAAACACAAGATGGTAGATGCAAAAACTACATAGCTCAGCTGTCACCCATATTTACCTAATATATTCATATAAACACTAAAATAGAGTGGCCAATTATGATTACCTAGGAAACTGAAATATAGCAATTGTAGTCATGAGGTAATTGTATGGCCACATACAAGGGGTATGCGGTAAAGCATGTAAATATGCACAATGCTTGCCACTTACTGCTTGCTGGTGAAATCACCTTGACATGATGCAATCTGAATTTTAAAGATTATTTGACGTCCAGCATTTAAAATTATATGTGGCCAAGAAACATAAACCAATAAAAAAGACTGTATACACAACTGGGCATCCACGTCCATATCAGAACAAATGTGAACAGTTTAGAAATTAATTATAAAATTGTTGGGGTCCGCGTGTTTCCTAAACAAAGGAATGAACACACAAGACAACACAAGACAAGACAAACATGGTGGCCGCCTCGAATGGCGCGCTCTGTTTTATTTTATACAGTCGTTTGTGGAATGTTGCCAAGTCACAAGACACATTGTTGTTTTTCTGACCTTTCCCTGACTTTCTGGATTTTTAAGATGTTTACACATAAACAAGCCCCCAGGGTCTGCTGTTTGCAGCTGGCTCCTTTGTCCTCCCTGTTTACAGGGAAGGAACTCCCTGCTTCGTTTGCAAGAGCAGGACTTATCGGGAACCTCTCATTTGCGAGCACGTAGTCCTCTACATAAAATATGTCATTTTTTTTTTAAATTTAAATGTCTTCTTGTTCCTTTTACTCCCAAAAAAAGACTCTCACCCTCCAAGTTTCAGTGATTTTTTCTAATGCCCTCCTCTTTCAAAAAGGTTTCAAATTTTGTGAATTACATGGTACATTTCCTTCTATTTCAACATTTATTAATTTTTATAAAAATTGCATATTATGAATTTTATATCTGAGTAGGGAATGACTTAGTCTGTCATTTGACATATAAAACCCAGCACAATTACTGCAGATAGATTTGAGAAGATATCCTGTATTTATTATGTTCCTTAGGATAGGCCTGAGAAGGATAATTGAATTTGAGCTGTTAGAACTTAGAGTCAAAGAAGGGGTGAAATGTAAAAGTAGGAAATGAGAACTGACCTCCTCACAATGTATTGCCTCTTTCTAAATGTGCATCGTTGCTCTACCATAACTTCACTCTTGGCCCTTATAAAAGGGCAGGACAATGTGATAATACCTTAGAGATATGATATGTACAGGAGACAGTCGCTAATAGAAAATAAACACAGAGAGTCTCAGAGTAAAGTGTTAAATACAACTGCCCCAGAAGATGGTAACGTCAGGTAATGGTGTTTGTTCACTTTGCCTCACAAGGATGCATAGGAGAGAGAATTAAACACTCCAAGTGAAAATGTCTATTAGGAAGCTCAGAGAATTAAATACGTGATTTGGTTTTCCATTTAAGTGACTACAGTTAGTATTATTTGGAAATGGCATTTCGTTTATATCTACATAATTAGCATGTAGCAAAAAGACAATTATGCATGTCATTAGAAATATATCCTATTAAATTTGCCATGAGTTTTATTTTATTGCAGCAATAAACTCAATCTGTATGTTTAGCATACACATTTTATTGGCCCATGTAGCAAGTTGACTGTCCAAGACAAGGCACTTTAAGAGAAATATTGTGCACAATATATGACATAACGTGTAAACTTCAGGAAAAGTTTATGTGTATGCGTATTTACGAACACTGGTAATCATCATTCTCTTCAGGCATAAATGTTTCCAAACAAGCTTCTTTACGTCCTAGTGCTTTCATACATGCTCTTTCTTCTGCCTGGAGCACCTTTGATGGTATCGCACCAGCATCCGTTCTCTCCGCCTTCATGATGAAAATCACCAAGGCTTAGCTGGGCCCTTTGTGCAATGGATGACCTTGTTTCGGACAATGGCCCATGAGAAGTGACACGTGTCCCCTTCACGACAAGCTATTCAAAGCAGTGTGCATGCTTTTCTCATTTCCGCTGCCTAGGATAAAGAGTGTTGGCAGCATCTTTGGATGCAGAGGGGGAAGCTTTATGTTTAGAGGAACAGAGGAAACTTACCAGTGCTGGACTATCCACCTTGGAGACTTACACAGGAGAGAAACATTTCTGTCTTGCTGTTGCCAATGTACATTCAGGCCTCTGTGTCATGGCAGGAAGACTGGAACTACAACAAACTGTCATGGTCCTGGAGATTCACCTGTCCCTTCAGCTCACCTGTCTTCTTCACTTTGCTTCATCTCCTGGGCTGCTGGCCATTTTGAAAACAAAAGGATGTTTGTCCTGTCTTTACTTTGGGGTCAGCCAATGAGAAATACAAGCTGGAGGTTGTCGGGGAAAGGAGAAGGAGAATGGTGTCTTTGTTCCCTTGACCTCTTGCTTGCTGGACTCAGGGATGTCAGTGGTTCCATTTCTTTCTTGAAGATGAAAGTTTCTATAAGGTGTCTCCCATTGCTGGAGTCACAGCTCTCACTTCAAATAGCGGTAAATGTAACTCTTCCCTCTCCTTGCTTCTAGGCTGGTTGTGGACTGTTTCTCTGTTCCTTGTTGATTTCATTAATAGTTCATCGTTTTACTTTTCTCGTTACTCTGTTGGGCATTTAATTACTTTTCTTGTAGACACCTGAATCAATACAACCATTGGACAGGCTAATTGTGACTTTTTATTCAAATCTTAAATTACATGTTAGGTTAAGTCAAATTATAAAATTCAAGCCATTTCTTAAAAAGCACCATTTATCTTAAGTAGTTCTCTGGATGTTGAGATATATGTAAAAGCAGAAACCAGTGCATCAACCACTGAGTACTCACAGTTTTGGCACAAACAACCCTGGGAAACATCACATGAATGATTATTTAATTGTACAGTATGTTCTACAAGCACCATAGAAATTGGTATAAAAATTTTTATTTGAAATAGTATTCGACATGATGTAGCCTCTAAACTTGGTTTGAATTTAAAGAATAGGTAGAATGTAAAATGGGCAAATGGGGAAGAGAGCATTTCTGTCAAAAGGATTTATATAAACAAACTTGGAGAAATATGAATAAGCATGTGGTAGGCATGAAGAGCCCATACATTATGCCTTCCTTAAGTCTTTTCTTCTATTATTGAGTATTTAGGTTGTGCTGGATGCTGGAGAGCAGTGGTGCAATCTAGGCTCACTGCAACCTCCGCCTCCCAGGTTCAAGCAATTCTCTCTGCCTCAGCCTCTCGAGTAGCTGGGATTATAGGTGTCCACCACCACAGCCAGCTATTTTTTGTATTTTTAGTAGAGATGGGGTTTCACCAACATGGTCAGGGTGGTCTTGAACTCCTGACCTCATGATCCACATGGACATTAAATACAAAAACATGCAAATAAATGGATCATTTAAAATGACAATGATTGCTGTGAAAGAAATATAAGGTATCATATGGGAACATAATTTAGTTTGGGCAGAATGAAGCAAAGCATCTCAAGGATATATAAACTGAAACCTGAAGAATGGATATACATTTACTAAGAAAAGAAGGGGGGGAAGTTGTAACCGTCTACAGCACTAAAAACCTGGGTCAGTTTCTGGGAAATGAGGTTAAGTTTGGTATACATTCATAAGTGAAAAATGTCAATGTAATTGCAGCCTCACGACCAAAGGAAAAATAAATCCCTAAGGTCATGAAGGCACAGTTCATGTAGAATCAGCTGGTTAAGAACACTGAAAGAAAATGTATATTCTACTCCTAAAACAATAGGAATCTTCCATAGCTTCTTAAAGTCAAATCGTGTCAAATTGTGTGTTTAGGCATATGGAAATGGCAGATGAGGAGAAATTGAAATTAAGACAAGAATGAGCTGGCTGTGGTAGTGAAGTTATTTATACATAAGATGAGACCCCAGGTGAGAATTTTAATAATAGGAACATATGTGGGAAAAATCATCTCAAGAAAGAATTATTGTTGCCTGATATCACAACACAAAAATCATATTCTCTTTGGGTGCTCTGGGTGCTCTGTGAAAGATACCACTATCTGTGGAATTAATTGTTCAAGGAAAATACCAGGGAATTACTCTTCAAATCTCTTTCCATTTTTTCCAGTTAGACACACACACACACACACACACACACACACTCTTCATCAAATCTGTAGGCACCACTCAGGTCTCAGTTTATATATTACTGCATTAAGATGATGTGTATGATTCCTCCTCGTTGTAAACCCTCTTATTATTCCTTATAGCCTGATTTTCATTTTAAATTCCTCCCTTATTGTGCTATTAAATAAAAATGTAGAATGTTAACTCATACCAATTATAACAAGTTTTTAATTATGCAATTGTTTGTGTATTTAAATATTTAAGATAGATTTCTCCAATTGTAGTGTATTACGCTCCATGCAAGCAGGAATTTTGCCTGGCATGTATGATGAGTCTAATCATGGCAAGAGTTAAACAATGAACTCCGTATTAATTCTTCATATTGCTTTCCATCTTAAACAATTTTGAAATCATGCAGAAATTCATGAAACTGTGGGGCTTTGCTAAACATAAACAAGCAATGGATAGAGAAAAAAATAAAATATTACAGATGGAAAAATATGCTTGACCTGAATTGTGTTTACTTTGAGACAACGGCAGGTCATTCAAGGGATGATATCATTTGGACACAGGGAGCTGAGATCAGACCTAGGAATGAGAGATCTGGACTGGAATTGAAGATAAGGCTGTCAAAAGGCTCATGGTGAAATATGAAGATAATGGTATTGATAGACCCTTTTAGGAATGAGAATAGAAAGAGAAGGACAAAGAGATAAATGCCTAATTGTGGGATTTGAGATTTGATGAAATTAGACAGGTGATGTGAAGCGATATTTCAGTTCCTAGAGTTTAGATTTGGAATTCAGTTTGAGTTTGCACTGCACCAATTGACAGTTGTATACCTTGATACATGTTACAATTGTCTAATCAATTTTTAAGTGGGTGGGCAAAAATGTCTACCTAATGTGTTGAACTGGGGACTAAATGTTAGCACATAATTAGGACTTTAATGTCTACCATTCCTATTAGATGATGGGAGACTTAGACACTGCAAAGTGAACAACAAAAACAAAAACTAACCCTTTTGTCTCTTGCCCTTAATTGCCATTAATACTTTGTCTAAAATAAGTGGTGGGTTATAGATCACAAGATTATATTACCAAAATAACTCATGTGGAAAAGTACACAAAGATTGTAAAATAAAATCGTGTGAACATTAGAAAAAGTCTAATTTGATAAACTACTTTACTGTAGTTACAGTACTACAGTACTGTAGTTACAGTAGTTTATCAAATTAGACTTTATTTTGGAATTAGATTTTATTTTGCTCTACCTTCTCTAGGTCATGTTCTATTTTTCTCTGGGTTCTAAAGAACTAGCTAACATGAACTCAGTTAAATTCTTAGCACATGGCACCTCTCACCGTTATCCTATTACCTCTACAAAAAGACCCAATGGCAGACTCAATATTGATCCAAAGGACCCTTCTAAAGGAAGTCATTTATATTTATATATTTGAGAACAAATCAGTATTCAGTTAGGATAACATTTTAGCTCTTAAGTTAATAAAGTGACCTTATTAAAAATGATCAGCTTTTTCCATGCATATTGATTTCAGAGACTAATGCAAGCTAGACATAGCAAAGTAGCACCATTTCACACAGCAGAAAAATGGGAAATTGTTTGCTACTCTTTTATGATTCCAAGATCCATTTAAGTTTCACTGTTTTCAGTTACACAGATGTCATTAATGCACATTGAACATTATCAGTGCCTTCCAGACACAACGGGTCTAGTCGCTGTCATTAGTCTGGCTCTCTTCTGATTTTGGCAGTCTTACAGATTGGAAGGAAGAAATGTTTTCCAACACAAGGAGCCATGACTGCTTAGGTTGGAATGATAAACGCGGAACAATAATATTGTTTTACTTGCAGTGATTTAGGTATAAATGATCTGTAAAGGTACGTACAATATTTAATTAAATTGAAATATAATACCATTTATTTTGTTTACATTGTTGATATATTTCTAATATGTGGAAATGATTAAGATAAAAAATGCACAATATATATTTTTAAATATAAAATTAAAATAAGGTATATTTAAAATTATACCTTGTATTTTAAAATGAAGTTCTACATGTTAAAGAATATTTTATTATACACATCTATAACTATTATAAATATTCTATATGATATTGAGAATTTTTGAAACTACATAAAACAGATAAAGTAAACTAAAATTATATCCTCATAACACAGAATGTATAAAGGTTGACATTTTGTCATATTTACTTTGCCCACTTTTTAAATAAAAGCAATATGCATTAAGATGAGATTGAATAACATTTTATTACTGTCTGTTCTGATCCAAAAACTCCTCTGAAAGCAATCATGTATCCAAATTAAACATAAATCATCTATGTCTTTGCAATATTTATAAGCCATTATTTTATAGTAAAACTAATTATCTGTATTATGTTGACTGTTATATTTATTTACCTATCTGTGTGGTTAAAGTTTTGGCAAGGGATAGAAATATATGATAGTAGCCCAACCCACCAACCGTGTGGGGAAAATCACGGCCATGTTAAAAGTGAACTAATTATGGGGGCAGTCAATATACACAGCAAAGCAGAATATCAATGTTCTCCAGGCCTACCAAGGTACAGATACAATTTTAAAGAAAAAAACACTTATTAGCATTTTTCTCTCAATTTAAAAAAAAAGCTGGTAATGGGTTTAATCACAATAATACTGTTAAAATATACCAATAGAACTTAATATGGAAAACCATTCTTCCAAAGAAATTTACAGCAATGTCTTGAAGACTATTGAAGAACAGGGTCTATGTTTTCTGTTCTTGAATCTCGATGTACTTTTTCCACCAATGAAGTTAGAAAGAAATAATGCTGTTTGACTTCTGAGGCTAGGTCAACTATGTCCAGACAGCTTCTGTCTGGATTATACATTTGATCAGGTCAAAGCAGCCAACATGAAAGCAATTTGACTACCCTCAAACTGCCATGTTGGAAGTGGGGGTGATCTGGTCAGCAACACTATGGAGCTTACCGCAGCCAGCCAGCCTCAAATGCCAGGATTGAATGGGCGATCTTGAACATCCAGCCAATTGGAAACTTCAGTGAACTGCTGCCCAAGGCCACGACTGATTACAGCTATATGAGATATTCTTTCTGAGCAGAACTCCTCTACCAAGCACACTTCAAATTCCTGGAACACAACATCATGAGGAAAATCAAATGGTTGTTTTAAGGTGCTAAGCTGGGGGGAAATTTGCCATTTTGTAATTTGTTGCAAATACATTTTATAGATTTTATTAATGCATTGCAATAAATTATATACTTTTATTTTAAAATCAAACAAAATCATAAAAACAAATAATTTAAAATATAATTTTAATTAATATTAATGAGAGATAAAGGTATCCATTACTATCTGAATTTTCATGAACTTACTATTTCTTATTATGACAGTTCCAGTTTTACTTAAAATTCACTAGCAAAATAGAAAACCTGCTGTCATGTATTTTCATCTCTGTGCCAACACACATGTTTTAATGTGTGATTTCAAGGGAGAAAATGTGGAGTCTGCTTCAGTCACAGTTTAAACTCTGAATTGGATTACATCAATTAAAAATGCTATGTATTATTATCATTTTCTCTTATATTGCAATGACAATATCATCTCTGAGCAAGATAAACCTTGTTAAGAAAATAAATGAACCTTACAGTCCTCTGAAAGTGTTTCTATTCAAAACATTTGGAGCAAACAATAGTAAATTGAAATACATAAAGGTGTAACTGAATTAAGCATACAAAACGTGATTGATTTCTTATGCATGAGAAAGTTTAGAAGACAAAACAATAAGTTACTATTCCTCAGACATTCAAAGATTAGCTAGCAATGCTTTCTGATGGAAATTGTGAAGTTGAGATTGTACTAAAACGTGTGTGTGTGTGTGTGTGAATCACTCTGAAAATAAAAATATATGTAAGGAAATATTAAGTGTGCCTGTTATATGGCTTTCAAGTCATAAAGCCACTGTAAGGAAAAAGTTGTTAGAGGAAAATTTAAAGGTCTATCTAGCATCAATTATTAAGAGAGAATAAAACACACAGCTCTTTTGATACCAGGTGATGTAGTGGATGGTAGTCTAGTGTCGGTCTGTTATGGAAGTAATTGTGAGTAGTAATTTCCCCTCCCAACACACTATTATTATTACTATTTTGGGCCAATAACTTAACCCTACTTTTAGGGAATGTAGCGGGGTGTTTATGTGGATGGCATTATTGTGATGAATGTTTAATGGAAACTTTTGGTTCATTAATTGATTAATAAAGCTTATAAATGCTGCAGTAAACAATAAAAGGCTTAGGAAAGAAAAGGATTCCTAAAATGTTTGCTGATTTCCGGGGTTTAAAGGCAATAATTGTACAATTAAAAAAAATCTTAAAGTAAAAAAGATGATAAATATATTAAATAATAGTCAGCATCACTTAATAAAAAACTTACCCCCTAACTTTCCATTCAGTTCAATGTTTATCATTTAGAACAATGAAGACTAGGAACCATAAGTACACTAAACCAAATATTTTAAAGAATCTTCAAATCATACCGAAAAAGTTACCGTAATTGAACATAAACAATATGGGCAGAAGCGTCGCATTCAATCAGTTACTTGGAAAAATCAGCCTAGTAAACAAGGAAGATATTTATCTTGGATTCAAACAGACCTGATTTCAAGCAGACCTGATTTCAATAATTGGCTCTGCTCTGTGTTATTGATAGAGGAGAACAATTAAATCAACCATAATCTCTACCTACAGTGTAACAGTAAAAACTATGAATTCCAAGTGATCTGCAGGTAAAAACATTTGTCCCCCCTGCCAAACAATCACATAGGTGCTATATCCCGTGCCAGTGTAGAGAAACTGGCAGGATTTTGCAAAAGCAAAGGTACGTGAAAGGGTACAGGCAGTGTTAGAGCCCAGATGACCTTAACAAGAGTATTACCTGGGAAGAGAAGAGCTTATCCTGAGTGGAAACTGACGTAGTACATCTGACACATGACAGAGCGCAACACTGGCAACAGGGAGTCAGGGGGAAGGAACTTCGGAAGAGAATGAAGTCAATGGTTGCAATCTTGGGAAGATGCTGCTTTTGGAGGAGAGAGAACAAAGTAGGTGGTGAAGGTGATGATTGTCCTTGAAGGTGGCAGTGGGTAGAGAAAGGAAGGGAGGCTGATGATAAGAAGCTTGCACAGTGGCTCACGCCTGGAATCCCAGCCCTTTGGGATGCCAAGGCGGGTGAATCTCGAGGTCAAGAGATCGAGACCTTCCTGCCGAACATCGTGAAACTAAAAATAAAATTAGAAGGAGACTCCATCTTAAAAAAAAAAAAAAGGGGGGAAATCAGATATCAAGAAAGAATCAGGACCAGCCTACAGGCTGGCTGCTGGCCACCCACACACAGCCTACGCAGTGCTCCTTGGAGGGACCATGTGAACCAGAAGACAAGGCTGTAAGTCATCAGTAGATGTCAAACCCTTTGTTCCCAGATTAGCTGGGTTCAAGGTGGCATGGTCAGAGTCCTCAGAAGAATGTGTCTTCCCTAACTGTGCAGCCACACACTGTCTATTTGTTCCAGAGTCAGGAGTGACAGAGCAGAAAATATATTCGGAAGATATAGCCTTAGGAGCTTCAACTTTCCCACCTCAGAATTTATCTTCTGAGATAACTCTTCATCCATATGCCTATTCTTTTACCCTTGACTCTACACAAAATGCTTGCTCAGCACCTGCCCCCAGTATGAGTATAACCAACTCAGTTGTTACCAAGGTTTTCAAACAGTGAAGCTCCAAAAGGATTCCATGTGCCATTTCCACAAGAAACAAAACTCTGTTTAAGAAACAAATGATGAGGAGGAAAAAAAAAAGTGTGATGAGCAAAAGTTTGACGGTAAAAGGGCTGATGGAACCATATCATCTGAGACAAAATCAACTAAACATTCACACCATTAGTGCATTCATGCCGAGGATAGTTTGAAATCAGATGATTAATATTATAAACAAACAGACAGGAGTCAGTCATGATGGCTCATACCTTTAATACCAGCATGTTGAGAGTCTGAGGCAGTAAGATCGTCTGAGTCCAGGAGTTAGAGACCCACCTGGGCAATATAGTGAGACTCCATCTCTACAAAAAAATAAAAATATTAGCTGGGCATGGAGGTGCAGGCCTGTAGTCTTAGCTACTCAGGAGGCTAAGGCAGGAGGATCCCTTCAGCCTGGGAAGTTGAGACTGCAGTGAGATATGATCTAACCAGTACCCTGCAGCCTAGGCAACAAAAAACAAACAGGAAATACAGAACCACTGCAAAAAGTAGGTCTTCCTTCCACCAAATCCGAATTTGAATTTATCAGGTTAGATTTTCCTCAACTACAAGATCCAGAGAACAATAATATGTCAGAGATACAAAAGCAGCCCAAGTGGGGATCGGGCTACTCCACCCGCACCAATGTTTGTCTTCTCAGAGAAGTGGTGAAATCAGCTGACATGTTCTTAGAGGGTGAAAGAGTGGTGAAAAACAATTATCCAAATGAATCTATAACTTCCAATGCTGCTACCAACTCCCCTTCCTGCACAAGGGTTATCCTGGACACCAGTGGTGATGCTATTTGGCAGACGTAACTTATAGCACTGTCTCCAATCCCTAAAAATGGTACTTCCATGCTAAACCCAGGAACCTATGAAGACAATTGCTTCATCACCAGATCCTAAAGTTGTTAGTGTATAATTTTTTCAAGTTTTATCTTTAGTTCCTTCCTGTAACAAAGGAAAACACATTATTCACCATGTGAAAATGTCTGAAGCATCACATGCTAGCAACCTTGAACAAAATGAAGCCTCAAGGAGGAGAAAAAAAAAAAAAAAAGAAAGACAAGTTTTAAATCGAAATATGAAAGTCTAAATCGCATTACAACTCCTGATAGCCCAAGAGTCACCAAGATTTGAAGATGTCAAGGAGTTTCCCAACATGACAGCTACCTCTGAAAGAAGAGAGAGTTGAGTCACCAAATTTCAATCTAAACAGCAGCCATGGAATAATTTTTTAAATGGTTTAAAGAAGAGCCAGATTTCAGTACGATTGGGTTTGGGGAAAATGCTGAGGTCAATGAAAAAGCAGCAGCACTCGCAGCGTGCATACCGGTGGTGTTCTCAGCGGAGCCCTATGAGCCCTTTCCAGAGAAGCTGCGTGGGTCAGGTGGGGAGGCTCCCCGCACAAGCCCTTGCACCACAGCAACCCCTTGAAGAAGAAGGGGAAACCGAGGGAGGCTCCCAAGGCCAAGAAGCCAACCTCACTAAAGATTATGTTGCAAGCATAGTGAGACAAAGCAGAAGCATCTCCAAGAAAATGCCAGGAGCCCAGCTTTTGGCAGTTATAATGCACAAAATTAAGGAGGTGGACCCCTCAGATCCAGGGGGATAGACATGTCTGTCCCCTGCATTCCTGTGGCCCAGGGCAGGACAGAAGGGCAGCGGGACACAGGACTGCAGAGGGACGCTGCAGCTTCCTTGCTCCCAACCACTCTGCCTTTGCCAAGATTCAGAGCTGCAGGTTCGGGATCCCTGCAGCCCAAGGCTCGATGAGGAAATGGAAGCCTGTGTGACTGCACCTGCTTCAATAACTGGTTCCTTTCCTAGACCGTATGTGCCAGAAAGATCCAGCCAAAACCAAGACCAAAAGCTGACTTGTGTAAGGACTGAGAGACGTTTTCAAACATCTGGAGCTGAAAAAGTTGAAATACATCATTTCTCCCAGATGTGAGATGGTGCACAGGAAAGGTGGGCTAGGGAACAGTGTGCACATCACCATTAATGATGACTGAGAGCAGAGCTCTCCTTTTGTGTTTGCTCTCAACCACAAAGCTCTGCGAGGAGTTTGAAGAAAGCAGATCCTGTCAGCGTGGTGGGGAATCTTCAGCTACCATGGGGCCCTGGACTAATTTCACAAGAGCAGAGGATGGAGCCTGGCAGGTGTGGAAGGCCAGGCTGGAGAATGTGCAAGGGGACCTCAACCCCTCTAGCCCATTGCACAAGGCTCCAGCTGCTCTGCAGAAGACAGAAAAAAGAACCACACTGCATGGAACTCTGGAAATAAAACATCTGGAAGTCACCAACTGATCTGCGCTAAAGCTACAAGAATCCTTG